TGGTAAGCCAGCTGTTCCTTTGTCTGGCTTAGCTCTTGGCTAAGTTGGATCCTCCAGTTCTGTTCGTAGTTAACACTCTCTCTGCCCCTGCTCAGCGTCCCCTGGAGCCTCCTGATTTCATCATGAAGGGCTTCGCAGTTCATGTTCTTGTTCCTGGGAGCTGTTTGTCTGTTGTTTCTACAGTTTTGGGGTCTGTCACTAGAACTTGCCATTTTTTTAACTGGAAGAATCACTTTTTACGTGAATACCGAAGTATTTCACTGAATAGATGTTATTAAACGTTTGTTTGTCGAGTATTAACTCTCTTGCTCACTAGCGTGGTACCTCTACTGAAGTTCAGAAGTGGTCTGATTGCCTGTGAAGCTGCAGTTCTTAGGTGAGCTGCAGCGCGAGACCTGGTGACGTCACGAAGATTAAAGCCATGTCGCTGATGACGTCACAGCTCGGAATGCTGCAGAGTTCAACTTTCTGCATGTTTACTTTCAAATCGCAATCTGTCAGTCAAATGTGCTGTAAGCTAACAGGCCACCGTAGTAACATTCAAAACCATTTTAAAACCTGCAGGTTAAAGCGGGTTAAGTGAAAACATGACTTTCCCTGTCTCAGAGCTAAACTCCATTTTCACCTTAACTGCTTTGAATAAGTCTTGTTTTGCTGTTAAATAGTTCTTGCCTACCACTGGGGTCTGTCCCCTTCATTGCCATTTGTTTGATCAAGTGATCATCATGATCACAGTTACATAAACTCTTTATATGGTCAAGACTAAACCTCTGAGAATGCTAAATAAAATACAAATTCATTTTTGTATTACAAATATAATTACTTAAATGAAATTACAAATTAAGACCAGACATAAAACACAAACAGAACACCACAATACACCATCAGGTTGGCATCAAACTAACTGTTTGTTTTTACTTGTTAAATATCACTCATATTTATGTTATAGAAGGGACTATTTTTGTGGTTTGGAAACTTATTTTGCTTTGTTAACATCAAGGATGTGTACAGTTATTTATTTTATGAAGGTTAATTTAAGGAGAGTTGACACAAGTAGGAACTTAGACTATAGTCACAGGTATATAATTGATCATAATCAATCTCAATAGAATCTATATCAGCATGCCTTACAGATACAGTGATCTGCCCCCCTTGACTGTGACAAAAAAGTTTTGAATAAAGTTACTATCATAACTTGTTTTTGATATTTTCCTGATTTACTTGAATAGTTTGATTGATGGAGTAATGTGGGTTTCTTAAACTGAACATTTATTTTTACATCTATGCAAATGCATATGTAATATTTGTAACTTGAATAAGTAATAAATACAGAAACAGTGATTTAACAATATGATAAGGAGTAGTTTAATTGATTTTAAATTACATTACATTTAGTTACATTTATACTGTTAATCTGGCCCTTTGAGGGCAACCATTATGCTAATGTGGCTCTCAGTGAAAATGAGTTTGACACCCCTGATCTAAATGTTGTGCAAATTATGCTATAATTTTCAAGAAGTCATTACAAAGAAAATTTGATCAAAAGAAACATATGCATCAGCATGTTTTCATCAAATGATACAGCTACACCGATCAGCCATATCATTATGACCTCCTGTCTAATCCTGTGTACACAGGAGTCAGTGTGGCATTTTGTTGGCACTCCTGTCACTCTGCAGCTCACTGTGCATCTTCTGTGAAGCCATCTGCTTCCAAAGTTCTACTGTCAGGTTCTACCTCAGGTTATTCTGTGTTGCAGGTGCCATTCAGAGAGGCCCATAGTCTCTCTGGTAAAGCTGTGTTTATAGCTGAATCTAAAAACATCACCCTGAATCAACTCATGGAGGAAGACCTGAGTGCTGTGAGGTGACTGATTCTTTTTCACACAGACAATCTAAATTTGGTATCATGGAAGATGATTAAGTTTTAGTTTCCCTCTCAGTATTTTCTGCTCAGTTTTCTCTCATGACTTTCTAAACTATACTTTCTTCTTCTTCTCTGTATCTGTTCTGTCACTGTAGCCCTCTGTTTGGGAGTGATGTCTCCTCGGTGTGGGACTACAGAAGCAGCGTGGAGCAGTACAGTGCCCCTGGAGGCACAGCCAAGAGTAGCGTTACCGTTCAAGTGGAACATCTGAGGAACTGGCTTAAGAAACAGGCACAGTGACCAGTTTCACCTTTACAAATTGAATCAGCTTTACTGCCATGATTTAGATAAGTATGAAATGTCAGACTTAGGTCAAAATGGCTTACTTTTTACTTGACAACCATGTTGCCTTTCAAATATCCTCCACTCTTCTTTTTAGTTACATAAAACAATTGGATGAATGATGTGTTATCCAGGAATGTTTCCGTTGATCATGCACAGATCATAGGTTTTACAAAAGACCTGACAAATTGTTACTCAAACAGTGTTATTAAAGCTTGATTCATCAGGTGTTTTCCTGTGTTGACCCGCACAGACACACACTGTCTTGTTTATTGATTGATGACAAGGAACAGTTTAACATGACAGTTGCTCACAGTTGCAGCTATAACATAAAAAGGTGTGAATTATTCTAGTTCTGTAATTAATTTAATGGTCTTACACTTGTATAGAGTGTTTCTATGCACTGTAGCACACTCAAAGCGCTGTCACGCTATTTGTCTATTCACCCGTTCACACACTGGTGATATTACCAGGAGCAACTGGGGGTTCAGTGTCCTGCTCACAGACACTTCAACACTTAGACCGGAGAAGCCGGGAATCAAACCGCCAACCTTCCAGTTAGGAGACGACCCGCTCTCCCTCCTGAGTCACAGCCGCCCCACAGATGATACACTTTCTGTTTATGAACTCCACACAGTGTAACAAAAGAAGAGGTGTGGCAAGACATTTATTTCTACAGAAACATTTAAGAGAAAAGTTTCAAGCAAGTGTTTTTTGTGTGTCTATAGAAACTGCTAATGGCTAGAAAATGCTTAAGAGCTTAAGAAACAGAAAAACCAGTTATCAACTTTAGATTCTATTAACATGAAATCAACAATTGGTATTATCCCTAAAAAGCCTAACTGGAGACTTTCTAATGTGTAAAAAAGTAATATTTGCATTCCTACAGGGGTGCCAATAAGTTCACTGGTTTGGACTGTCCATTTATTGTGTTTTATAGCAAGTCTGGCAGTGCATTTCCTCTCAGTTTTAATTTCATAAATGTTGATTAGATTCAGTAGTGTATTCAGCACATAAAGAGGGTCATCGAGAACAGAGAAGAAGTTGTGTATGTACATTTAGAACAAATGAACACATCGCTGTAACATCTAATCTTACTTCTATGTTCAATCATCAGAACAACATTACATGAGTAAAGAAACGACAGCGGTTAATGTGTAAGGAATGGCCCTTAATTGTAAGAAAAAAGTAAACTCCTAATTTTAAATATTCATCACACTTCAGTCTTTTTGAAAAACAGATCTGAGTTCATATAAAGATGACTCCTAATTAAGTGTTGAACTGCTGAGATAAAGCTCCCTATCTTTACGTGTTGCCCTGAAAAACTCACATGGAGCCTGGTTGCTGTCCAGAAGCTCAACAGACAATTTACCAATTCAAAAAAGAAGATTATAGAGTCATTTTCACACATTTGCACACTCCAGTAGCTGGTTAACATGCTGTCATGCCCACATTAACAATGCTAACACAACCAGTGTTTATCGACTATAATGTTCACCGTCTTAGTTTAGCATGTTGGCATGCTAACATTTGCTAATTAGCACTAAACACAAATTACAGCTGAGGCAAATGGGAATAAACAGATGTAGCGGTGATTCATCCTTGAACGTCTGTATCAAACTTCACAGCAAACCAACCATCAGTTATCTGAGTCCAGGCCAAAGTGGTGAAAAGTC